CCCTTGGTGAGCAATATTTTATTGGTTGTTAGTTTATATACAGGAGAAATCAATTTTCCTAAAGCACAAAGTTTCTAAAGAGAATGTTTTAAACTCTTAATTGTTACTTAATTGTCAAATTCACATTTCAAAAGATTCTCATGAAATGAGCCTTTTAATATTTCTCAGTTATCCATCTAAATTAATATTCAATGCGATTTTATGCAGCACAAACATTGCTGTCGTATGTTATCTGGACTTGAGATTGTCTCAGGAGAGACGGATGCTGGATCAGTGATGTGGAGGCGTCCCGTGCATATTAACATCAGCACACTGTGTGTGTGTGTGTGTGTGTGTAATTGATGTATAGGCGCTGGAGTTGACGGGTTAATGGTGTGATGTTGGAGGTAATCTATGTGTTCGCTCGTTAAGAGATGATGAAGATCTATGAGAGGTGCGTAAAAATGTTCAAATCTAACATGATGAGGATGATGATGGTGATCATCACGCTTTCGTCTAATAAGTCATTATACCCTTGACAAATGAAGGCTGGGATGGCTCTTCATCTTGTGTAAATTCATAAGGAAATGTTTGTTGTCTCGTGCAGAATTACAGGGATTTATCTTTGCGTGATTATCCGGCCATATGTGAGACAGTCTGTGTGCAATTCATTCATGTTTTCAGTCCTGATGCTGCAGGAAAGAGAAAGTTGATGTGTATTTTTGGGATTCTGAACATTAACTTAAAGAAGTATTTCACTTTTCAAAAAACTTTTGCTGATAATTTACTCTCCCCGTGTCATCCAAGATGTCTTTCTTTCTTCAGTCGAAAAGAAATTAAGGTTTTTGATGAAAACATTTTTCTCCATATAATGGACTTCAATGGGAACCAAACGGTTCAAGGTCCAAACGACATTTTCAGTGCAAACTGCAAACTGTTCAAAGGGCTTTAAACGATTCCAGACGATGATTAAGGGTCTTATCAAGTGAAACGATCGCTCATTTAATAAATAAATAACAAAGTTTAAGTTTTATAAGCACAAATGCTCGCCTTGCTGTGTTCTACGATGCATGTTCGTGACTCTCCTGTTCGAACTCGTTCATTAAAATGAACAAATCTTTTTCCGAGTCAATTCGTTCGTTTCGTTCGTTGAATGAACCAAATGACTAAATGAAAAGTTTTTTCAAAAGTGAACTACTCCTTTAAAAAGGCCACTCCAAAATGAGTTGCTCACAGACGAACATCAGAAAAGGCGCCTGTTGAGCTATAATAATAAGGAATTCAGACCCAAGCATTGCAGTTTCGCATTATATAGACCACAAAAGTATGATTTATATGTAAAAATGAATGATTTAAAAGCATAATAGTATCTTTTTTGGGTAATAAATACATTTTTAATGTCAGTATTTCACTCTTGTGTCTTGATCTGTTGGTTTTGAGCAGCTCGACATGACTCAACCAATGGGCATGAGTTTGGGGTGGGACTATTTTTTTGTGGGGAGTGTTTAGGCAACTATTCGCAGGTTTTGTAAGTGTTGTTGAGAAGCAGCTTTAAAGTGATCAGATCATGTCTTCACAGTGAGCATCACACACTCTTTCTCTGCGTTTACTGGCTTGTGTTGTTTGTATGTGAGCGCTCCAGTGCTGCGGAGCAACTGAAGGCCATGTCTTTGAAAAAAGAGAGAGAGAGAAACACAATTGCTTTTAGACAGCGAGCGCGGGAGACTATTGTATCAGTATTGATTCCTGTAGTGCCGCTGGATTCTGCATGAAGTTCATGAGGCAGCGGCTGAAGAGGACTGAGCGTACAGCACACTTCAGATCACATGATGTTTACAGAGCACAGACATATGCCTACTATTTCAAAGAAAGCATAAATGTGTGCAGAATGCACATTTTCCTAGTCAATTTAGTTACATCCGAGTTACATACGGTTTGTTGCATGTTGCATGGTGTTTTACATAATACAAGACATAAGACTGTTTTTTTTACATAAAAAACAGGTTTTAATTTCTCACTGTCAATAAATCTCATGAAGAAATACCTGGCTCATATTTCACCTCAAAACCAATAAAAATAAATTATATTTTGCATGAAAAGAAAGCCTATTTTTAGAACCATTCAGATTGATTATTATTGATTTTATTAATTTTAATTAAAAAAAATTAATTAACCTTTTAAAATTGGAATCAGCCTAAATTAAAGGCAATCAACAGCAAAAAAATTTTTTTACGCATAAATAGTTAATTTATATTTTTTTTAGCATTGCATTAAGCTTCTATAAACACACTGGCTCATATTTCACCTCAAAACACAAAAAAAATAAATTATATTTTGCATGAAAAGAAAGCCTATTTTTAGAACCATTCAGATTGATTATTATTGATTTAATTAATTTTAATTAAAAAAAATTAACCTTTTAAAATTGAAATCAGCCTAAATTAAAGGCAATCTACAGCAAAACATATTTTTACGCTTATTTGTTTAGCATTATATTACGCTTCTATAAACACACTGCAATTTTTTTCTTTTTTTTGAATCAGAGATTATTAGAGTACGTTTTAACGAGAAAATACTATTTCAGTCTGTACTTCAAAATTTCAGGTTCCTCTTTGTAATTATTAGTGAAATTTACTAGCAATTTCTGAGTAAACAGTTATTTAAATAAATAATACATTAAATGTGAAGTGTCACGGAGGGAATTGTGGGAATATCAATTTACATTTTTTCACTGTAAATTATACAATGACTTATCCAAAAACTGTAAATTTAACAGTATTTTACAGTAAAATAACATATCACAGTTATTTACCGTATATTAAGAAAACTTTCTGTTAACCAATTAACAGTTTTTCAATGTAGCATTTTTACATTTTAAAAGTCTTTTACTATCAAAAGTGCGATAATTTTTTTACAGTGGGTGATGTTGGAGATCTGTTCTTGACACTTTTCATTTCAGGGTATGCAGACTATTCTAACGCAGCCATTGACTTCTCTTCACCCAAGACACTTTGATTTACTTCAGTATAAAACATCCTTTGAGTCAAACATTAATGACTTGTTATGAATATAAAGGACTTTGTGTTTGATTTGAGTCACAGCCGCTGTGAGTCTCTCTCCTCCCATCACAAGTGGCATCAAACCCGCTTCACCCGCAGGCCTGTCTGCTCGCATTTCACATGGGCAGCAAGCGTCCCGTCTCCCCTCCAGTGTGCACTCGAATCTCAATGACGGTTTCTGAGGTTTTCTGTGTGGTCTTTGCAGCTCTAACCCACATATCCACAGGCACAGGTGCCCTCTCTATGGGGCCAGGTGGCGGCCCATTCTGCTCCCGCTCTTTCTAAATGAATCCGTAATTGGTTTGAGTCACCTGTGGAGAGGAGAATAGCAGGGGTGACGGGTCGGGTTAGACGAGGTTGTGGTTGAATCTGACCTGGCTTCAGTAGTCCAGCACAGACTCAGAGCTGTCAGCAACACTTTCCTCTTCATGTCGGACCCACACACACACGCACTATACAAAGCTATATCTTTTGAATAGTATGCTACATTTTTGTCACATGACCGTTTGTACAGTACATTTGGAATTATTTGGAATAATATATTTATTATTTATGTCTACTATACTATTTCAATACATTGAAATAGTATAGTACACATAAATAATAAATATAATATTCCATTTATTTACATATATATTTATAACTTTTATTAATGTCATTTTTTTCATTTACAATAATTGAATAAAACACGTTATTTTTATTATTATTGGATAAAAAAAATTTCCTAATTGAATTTTATGTATAAATATATTGTTTTTATATTTGATTTTATTTCATATATATATATATATATATATATATTAGGGCTGTGCAAGAATTAATTGCGATTAATCGCATCCAAAGTAAAAGTCTGTGTTTACACAATATATTTGTGTGTGCTGTCTATAATTATTTTGTATATATAAATACCTATGCATGCATGTATATATTTAAGAATTATTTGCGCTTAAATTCTTTATAGATATATAAATACATAATCTATATTATATAAATAGAAATATTTTATATATGAATAACACATTTTCTTAAATATATACATGCATGTGTGTGTATTTATATATACAAAATAATATATAAATTACAAAATAAATTATATACAGCACACACAAATATATTATGTAAACACAGACTTTTATTTTAGATGTGATTAATCGCAATTAATTTTTGCACAGCCCTAATATATATATATATATATATATATATATATAAAAGTTTGTTTTTACATGATATATTTGTGTGTAATATAAATACATTCATGCATAAAATATTTATATTTATATATAATATAGATTATGTACAGTATTTTTATATATATATATATATATATATATATATATAGTACTTACCTGTAAATAATTCTTAAATATACATGGATGCATAAATAATTATGCACACACACATATATTTTGTATACACAAACTTTTATTTTGGATGTGATTAATGGCTAATCCCTAATATACATCCCTACTATAAATACTCTAAATAACTGTAATATATATTTTTTTTAATTTGCAGTCCAGTTTTCAAATATTTCAACTTTTATCAGTTCAGTTAAATAAGTCTGACATTATTTATGGTTTCTTCATCAGACTTGAAGTGGAAGTTCACTGTGAGATACAGTGCGCTACTGCACACCTTGCCAAAAGTATTATTAAGCCATCCATAATGCACTGTGTTTACATACTGCAGAATTAACTCTAAACGCACCCGTATGAGAGTTGTGATGAGTGTGAGTATATTTGTCGCAGTATCGGATGCTTTGTTGCATTGGTGAGTTTATTAGACAGTTTTCCTCGAGAGCCATCATACTAATGTTTTTCTCCGCTTAAGTGCTGGAACAAAGTTTATTTGCAGCTCTGCGGTATCAACATATGGAGCAGAATTATTGATTGTAATGTTTTCTTATGTGTTGCGTGGCCCTTAAGTGTGTGTGAGATTGATGAGCTCATCTCTCTGCTGCAGGTGGTTGCGTTGAGCCAGCGCAGTAAGGAGGCGGAGTCTGCGTTCCTGGGAATATATAAACAGCTGATCGAGGCCCCAGGTGAGCTGCACACCTGCCACACACACACACACACACACGCAAACCTGCAGAAACAAGGAGCATTCATGACTCAAAGGAACACAACTAGCCTGTAAGAAGTAACTTGCACGATATTGTTCATTTTTTGGCAATTAAAAATCTGTTAAAAGTGTCATATATCACGTAAAACAGGATTTATCTAGGGCTGTCAGACATCAGGCATCCAAAATAAAAGTTTGTGTTTACATAATATACAGTATGTGGGTGCACTGTGTATAATTATTTCATATATATAAATACACACACACATGCTTGTATATATTTAAGAAATATTTGAATGTATATACTGTGTGTAGATTTATATATAATTTATATTATATAGAAATATTTTTATATAAATAATTTATGTCTTAAATATAAATGTGTGTATTTACAAATAATTATACACAGTGCACCCACATATATTATGTAAACACAAACTTTTATTTTGGATGCGATTAATCACAATTAATCGTTTGACAGCCCTAATTTTATCACATGTTTTTTTTTTATATATATATATTTCTATTTAGCTTTAACTTAATTTTATTTCAGTTTTAGTCAGTTTCATTTGTCAAATTAAACTTCTTTGCAAGAAACATTTTTAACTTTCTTTAAAGATATAGGATATGTAAGATTTATATGAAATATTTACATTTTATTTTATTTCAGCTTTACTCCAATAAACAAAAAATTCTTAGATATCTTAAAGGTACAGTCACAAATGTTGACAATGTTTTGTTTTTTTTATCTCATATTTATATTTTCTCAGCTTTATTGTAATTAACAAACAAATATCATTAGTTAACAATAACAACACTGATTTAGTCACTTGGTCCACTGTATTAAAGTGCACATGAGCTCATTAACATATGACTGACATATAAACACCTATTCAGTAACTTGGTTTGCTCTAATGAGGTCCTATTGATATGCACGTCTTAAAGATACAGTAGCACAAACAGTTAGAAAATGATCATGTAAGTAAAAGTAATATGATGAACGTGTAGAAAGTGGCTGCTTGTTGGAGTGGTTTGGGGTCGGGTGGGTCCATATGGTCTCAGGTTCTGATGACTGCAGTGGGCCAATCAGAGCTCAGTTGGATGTGAAATGTGGGATTGATGAGGAGTGTGAAGCAGGGGAGAGACGATAAGAGAGAAAGAGACACACAGAGACGGTAGAAAGAGGACAGGGGCCAGACGCTAGACCGTCCTATCAGAGATCACAGAAGGCTTGATGCCACTCTCTACACGGTCATGGGGGAATGGAAGCTTCTTCTGGAGAGATAAACTCTGATCTCAAACCTTCCCTGTCCTACCTAGACTCGGCTCGCCTTTGCTTGGTTTTCCACTGTGTAAAAGTTGTACCTGTACCTCCTTTCGGGTACTTTTTTTAGTATCACCTCCGGCGAGGTTCTGAGCTAGCTAAGGCGATACTAAAACAATGCCGACTGCTGATTGGTCAGAGAGAATCGTCACCGTTTACTGCGTCATCATTGCACGCACCAGATGGATTATCCAGAATACCCCCGCCATTTTTAAATAGTTTGGCCAGAGATAGTTACTAAACTTAATACTATTATTATGGCAACTCTATTATTATGTGTGATTTAACCCTAAAACCGTGTTTTGGACAAATGTGGGCAAAATAGTTTTGATTTATTTTTTAAAAAAATACTTGATACTTGACCCTTGATCTGAGCGCTACAAGACTTGGCTACTTTTCCTAAGTTTGCTTCCTGAACACACACAATTTATTTTTGACTCAATTCTACAATGTTAAGTGGGTGAAAAAAAAACTCCTTAATCTTGTATTTGGGTCAAAAATGGGCACCCATAGAAATGAATGGGAAAAACTGTAATTTAGAGCATTCAAAAATAAGCCAAAATAAGACAGCAAAGTCACTTCATCTTTAGTTTTAGCTCTAAGAACTTATTGGAATGATATTTTTATGTAGTTAAAAAATTTAAAAAAAAATAAAACATAAAAATAAGCATAATTTACACAGAAAATATGGTACTTTTTGAAGTAAATAAATTTAAAAATACCCCCCAAATAGAAAAAAACACCATAAATGGATAGACAAAACTTTATCAAAGACAGTGATATAACATTTATAATAAATAAAAATTAGGAGTCCTCTGTGCCCACATGTGTCCACAATTACAGGATTAAGGGCTATATAGTGAACGGTTTAAGGGCTAAAGTGTATATATACGGTTATACGGTTATATACGGTTTGAGGGCTAAAGTGTAATTGTAACCACTATTTGTGTATGCAGCATATGCTTATTAAAGTATTGCAACGTTGATATGTGCGATTGAAATTGTGTTTTATGCAAGCAGTGCTGTTTGGAGTTGCTGCCTACAATATGTAGAGCGTTATAAACGGCCATCTTTGTTTCCAGTCCCAGTGAATAACTCCATTTGACCTCGTCTAAGGCATTTATTATTATTATTATTATTTTTTGCACAAAAACACGTTCTGATTTGCATGCAACCAAGGGTGACTGTGGTTAAACGTGGCCAAAGTTTCCCCCCAAAAGCCGTGGCCATCAGATGTCATCGGTCTCATGTGATGCGAGCGTAACCTGGCACTTGACCTCCCTGTGAAGAGCTACGTTTTCATCTGTATCGACCTCTGACGGATCTTGCCATCTGTGAGGGTGAGCCTGTTGTCTACAGCAACCTATTAATCTGTTCCTTCCTCTGGCTTTGAGCAAGGTCACATCCCGGGGAATGAACCGTTCCAGGTGCATAAGGGACAGTAAACTAGCTCAGCTTCCAGAAACACCAACATGCTTATGGATTGTTGATCCAACATGTGTGTGTTCATAATCAGCGCACAAACACAATCTGTCTTCACTTGTATAGCAAAAATGCCACAAATCAACAATTATAAAAACCTGTTTTAAAGGGTTTACATTAGGGCTTGGACAATAAATTGATGCATCGCGATTTCCGAATGCATCGTATTCTCTTTTTTTTTAACAGCAGATGGCGCTCTAGGCTAGTTATTAACCGCATACTCAAATGCTCATGAAGAAGAGCGTTCATGCATTTGGCTGAGTCTGAAGCCCTGTTTACACGACAACGCTCGCGGGTGAAAACGTCAAAATATTGTATTGGATGTGCTTTTCGTTTACACGGCAACGGCGTTTTTGGGGCTTAAAGGATTAGTTCACTTTTGAAAAAACTTTTGCTGATAATTTACTCACCCCCATGTCATCCAAGATGTCCATGTCTTTCTTTCCTCAGTCGAAAAGAAATTAAGGTTTTTGATGAAAACATTCCAGGATTTTTTTTCCATATAATGGACTTCAATGGGAACCAGACGGTCCAAAAGACAGTTAATAACAGTTTCAGATGCAGCTTCAAACGTCTTTAAACGACACCAGACGATGAATAAGGGTCTTATCATGCGAAACGATCGGTTATTTCAAAGCTTATTCCAAAAATGTAACTTTTCTAAGGACAAATGCTAGCCTTGCTCTATTCTGTGAGGCGTGTTTGCAACGTCACGTAATACGTAATTACGTTCAAAAGGTCACGGGCGACATAGCCAGAAGTACAGAGTCAGTGTTTACAAGTTGAATGCATAGGTTGAACGTGAAAACGAACTCAAACGCCGTTTACAAAAAAATGAATTAAAAGGTAAAACAACGATGTCGGGCGATTTTGATTCTGTACTTTCGGCTACGTCGCCCGTGACCTTTTGAACGTAATTACGAATTACGAGACGTTACAAACGCGCCTCACAGAATAGAGCAAGGCTAGCATTTGTCCTTAGAAAAGTTACATTTTTGGAATAAGTTTTGAAATAACCGATCGTTTCGCATGATAAGACCCTTATTCATCGTTTGGTGTCGTTTAAAGACATTTGAAGCTGCATTTGAAACTGTTATTAACTGTCTTTTGGACCGTTTGGACCCCATTGAAGTCCATTATATCTAGAAAAATCCTGGAATGTTTTCAGCAAAAACCTTAATTTCTTTTCGACTGAGGAAAGAAAGTCATGGACATCTTGGATGACATGGGGGTGAGTAAATTATCAGCAAAAGCTTTTTTCAAAAGTGAACTACTTCTTTAAAAACGCGAAAAAGTGAAACCACCCTCCAGAGTGGAAATCTTAAAAACGCTCCACCGCCGCGTTCCCGTGTAAAGGGTAAAAACGCAAAAGTCTGCTTGACGGTGAAGGTTGTCCACAGGTGCGCGGACTTGGTGTTGTTGTGTGGCAGTGCTCCACATTGCCACCTAGCTGCCTGGAGTGAATACTACATTGAATTTCACACACTTTTGCGTCATCATATGCACCTTGAACCGTTTGGTTCCCATTGAAGTCCATTATACGGAGAAAAATGCTGGAATGTTTTCATCAAAAACCTTAATTTCTTTTCGATTGAAAAAAGAAAGACGTGGACATCTTGGATGACATGGGGGCGAGTAAATTATCAGCAAAACTCAAACCCGTTTTATGTGATTATGTCTTAATCATGATTCTATAGGCGGCTTATGTTACTGTCCCTGTAATATTTATTCATCGGTATTATGATTCTCTCCGTGAGGTTCTCTCAGATAAACTCATATCTGACCGCTGTCTATAAAGCGTTAGAGTCCTGCGACCCGCTTGTAAGGTATTGATAAAGTTAACACAAAACATGCTGCTCATCTGTTTATCTACAAAGAGTTGAGTTTGTGTTTTCACTGCAGGAGGAGGCGAAGGGAAAATGCTGATGCGTCCTTTACGGTCTACATGCTAATCGCTCCGTGTTTCTCTCTTTCTGTCTGATATCAACGTGATGATTGCTCCCCGTTTCCACGTTCTTATGTTTTGCTCTGTTTTACTGTTTCATCAGCAATTATTGAATCCCTGATTGTTCAGCTGTGGATAATTATGAAAAAATAATTGTAAAACAGATGTGAGTGTTTCTCCAACTCTAGCACTTTTGGCCCTGTGGATGTTTAGAAAATAAACTTGCACT